AATAGGTCGTTTAATATTGGAATTTATGTTTACAACTTTTTTCAATAAACCGTCCATGAAAGCTTGAAATTGTAAACAAACGATCTTAAAAGTCAAAACTGCAGGGTTGCCAAACTCATGGGATACTGAGATTGAAGACTTGATTGCTACACTTCGGCACGTTCGGCACAACGCTTGACACAGCTTTTGGCACAGATAAAGTATTCGGCACAGAGTTGAACACCCCTCGGTTAATTTCATACTTTCCGAAGTGAGTTCGATCAATAAACAACAAGTATCCGTCAGGAAATTGCATCAAACTAGCCTTGACAATTCATTGTCGATACGACCTAGGCAGAACCTGTACAGACTAGGAGTTTTAGAACGATTGATTAGAACAATCTGGTTTTAGCGCAAAACAAAGAACAAGAATTGAAACTAGATGCACATGAGGATCCAGAGGAGGTGCCAAGGTGTTTTATCCTAGTTAAAAGGCAAGTTCGAAAAGCGCGTTTATCGTCGTCGTTGGCAGTACTATTCGTATATTTTAAATTAATCATCGACCGTAGAAAATACATGAATGATCGCGTACCTTAATCGTTCTTTAAATACCTTAAAGAGTACTTAATCGTACTTTGACGCGAAGCGCTGTGGATTGTGTGATGCCTGATGGGAGGGATCGTTTTTGCTTACAGAGCAGAAAAGCATGGGTTTAATCCCAAGCTCTCCATCATGAATCTTAAAATGCATGATCACTAAACAAAATTAATATTTTTTATTCGATAGTCGGCTATCGAGAGATTATATGAGCAACACATAAACAATATATACTTTTTATTGTAGCGGAGCCGGTGGTGTAGTGGTAAGCGTGATTACCTCTCACCCCAGCAGGCCTGGGTTTAATCCCAGTCGGCGCCGCCGAGATGTTCTGATTGATTGATTGATTTATCTTTATTAAGGAGGCTTTCAGTCTGAGGCTGGTTCGCCTCCAACTGGATGTTCTGAGGCATAACATCTCTAATCACGCCTTGGTTGGGAAGGGAAGTAAAGCCGTTAGTCCTTGGTTCATGAGTTGATGGGTCGATAGGCAGGGTCCAGGTGTGGGAGCTGCCTCCCTGGCGTCGGTAGCATTGGTGAACAAGATCGACGGAAAAACAAACCAAAGGATACTTTTGGTTGCATCGTCAACTTGAGGCGAATCCTAACCGAATACCCTTCCCGAACCCCAACCCGTAGCACTTATGAGGGTGTCGCTAAGTCGTTGGCCTCTCTTTAAGTAAGTATTGCATCAACTAAAGTTAGTAATGATTCAAGTCGGTGGTGTCTTATGATTATGCTCAATCAACTTTTCAGTAGGCAACATTAGTGTTTCTGGCGCGTAGAATAGAGCACAAAAATCGTGGCACTGCAGAATACAATGTTTTCCACAAAACAGGTGCTTGGTCAGGCCATAATACTATTAATCTCTTAAACAATTAATAATTATTTAATTTGACGTTTGCCTGAAAAACGATCTTCCACAAAGTTGTAGCTGAGAAAATTTCCCATAAAATAGTAATAGAACATTTTGACAGTGCAATATGGAAAAAGGCTAGAAGACAATGAATAAAATGTTTGTTTTTCCTATAGTAATTTCCACATAAATTTCAAATGGTTTGTGTAAAGTAAGTTTCTTAAAAAATGAGTTTAAATTTTGGGATGCTAATCAGGATCCGATTTGAAACCATTCGAAGCAAAAATTTAAAATTTTGCATCAGTCTAATGGTCCCGCACAGGACCATCTATGCGTTCCTATTATGTGTGAATTCCAATTATAGCCCGTGGAATTCCCATACGCTATAATTGGTACCACCATAGGAGGACGTCTCGAATGAACTTAATTCTCCTCTACCAGGGGAACAGTTTAAACAGACGTATAGCCAAACCAATTTTCAAGATTTCAGATTTAAAATAAATCAACGATTGGACAAAATTATAAGATATTCCAGAGATAATTTTAAATAAATTCTGAGGAGAAGTTCCGGGTAATTTTAAGAAACATTTCAAGAAAATTGCAAGATAAATTCCCAGGTAGTTCTGAAGAGACTGTTACGGGGATTGTGAGGAGAATTTCAGGAAAATCAAAGGGGTTTTTGGGCAAATTTCCAAAGAATTCCCAGTAGCATTCCAGGAAGAATCAGAAGAATGTTCCAAGAGAATTTCGAGGAGAATTCTAAAGGAATTGGATTCGCAGAATAGTTCCAAGAAAATTCTAAGAGATTCTCTCAAGGCATTTTAAGAAGAATTTCAAGAGAATTCTGATATGCATTCCAAGATAATTTTAGCACAATACTACAATCTCGAGTGAATTCCAAGAGCAGGAGAATCCTGAGAATATTTCCTAGATCATTATGACAAGAATTTCAATAAAATTCTGAGGTAAACTTTTATGGAATTCTGAGGAGAATTCAAAGTTAAAGAATAGATACATTTTCTAGATTCTGTGACATGCTATAGTTCTCAAGGTTCTAAAACAGTCAAATTTATGCCATAGGACATCATCAAAACGCATTTGAGATATCGAAGTTAACCAAAACTCAAATGTCCGAGGGTTGGAAGAATTCTCACTGCAATCTTTTAGAAAAATTGACAAGGTCTTTGGTTGACAATTTTATGAAACTCTGGGACATTCCTATTTTGTGTAGATTTCACGATTAGTGTTTCGTGCTAAGGGAAAGTTATGAATTTCGTCCTGATGAATGTGGGCGTCTTAGTGGAATACCTGTATAATGAGAGAGAGAAGGATTAGTAATTTCCATTTAATTCCACTACCTTATTTGCTTAAAGGGTGTCCACGATGAAATTGCCACACTATGAAATTGCTCTAACTTTTTAACCGTTGGGTAGAATTTAATGAAAATTTGGGTGGATTTAGTTCATAGTGCATTATTTACTGCAAGTTTTAAAGTCCTGTGATCAAAACTCGCGGAAATGGAGTCGAAAGAACAGCTCGTGCGTGATAAAATCTTGCGCATTCATCACGAGAACAAGGATCTCTCGCATCGTTCCATCGCTAAAACGTTGGGAATCGCGAATTCCACGGTGTCGCGAGTGATTAAGCGGTTCGAGGAACGGTTGACCACCGATCGGAAGCCCAGAAGTGAAGGAAAAAGTATTCCGTACAACACCAAAAATCACAACCGCGTAGTTGGGGCCTTCAACCGAAATCCGAACGCCTCCGTTAGGGATGTGGCTAAGAAGCTGCACCTAAGCCGAAGTTTTGTCCAGTAGGCCAAAACTAAGACTGGGCTTCGAACGTTCAAGGTACAAAAGGCCCCTAATCACGACGAGAAGCAGAACAAGTCCGCCAAAACCCGTGCCAGGAAGTTGTACCTCAACATGCTGACGAAAGTTGAATGCTGCATCATGGACGACGAAACATATGTGAAGGCCGACTTCAAACAGATCTCCGGCAACCTGTTTTTCACGGCCAAGGATAAGTTCAGCGTTCCGGAGCATGTCCGCACTCAGAAGATGTCCAAATTTGCGAAGAAATTCCTGGTTTGGCAAGCCATCTGCACGTGCGGGAAGCGGAGTGCACCTTTCGTGACCCAGGACACGATGAACGGACAGGTGTACATAAAAGAGTGCCTCCAGAAGCGGCTGCTTCCTCTCCTGAAGGCCCACAACGTCCCAACAATCTTCTGGCCGGATTTGGCCTCATGCCACTACTCCAAGGACGTGCTGAAGTGGTATGCGGACAATAAGGTCAATTTCGTGCCGAAAATGTTCAACCCTCCCAACACTCCGGAGCTCCGCCCCATCGAGAAGTACTGGGCGATTATGAAGCAGCACCTTCTTAAACGACCTAAGGTAGTGAAGACAGTCGAGGAACTGAAGAAAGTATGGGTTTACATGCAAAAAACGGTTGATTCACAGGTTGTGCAGAATCTTACGGCCGGGGTTAAGGCCAAGGTGCGGGCATTTGCGTATGGACTGTAAATAAAATACGCTTAAAATGGTAAAATGAAGTTTAATAGTTATTTCTCAATCCCTGAAAATTTGCTGGCAATCGGATGAAAACTCGAATTTTGCGAATCAATTTTGTGTGTGGCAATTTCATCGTGGACACCCTTTATCCTTGACAGATACGCGTATTTCGTCTACAATGTGCAGACTTCTTCAGTGTATTGTACTAATACTCGACTAAGACTAAGAATACTAAGTCGAGTATTAGTACAAGACACTGAAGAAGTCTGCACATTGTAGACGAAATACGCGTATCTGTCAAGGATAAGCAAATAAGGTAGTGGAATTAAATGGAACTTACTAATCCTTCTCTCTCTCTCTCATTATGAATTTCGTGTTTGAAGAAATATTCAAAATATCGAATTTTGTTATCACATGTTAATGTTATTGTATGATTCAATTCAAATTCCCGGTCCTGGACATCGAACACCGGCGGCGGCGCACAGGTCTAGGCGGTGCACATTGTAAAAATACCGGACAACAATTCCGCAAAAAATGGTGTTTGTCTCGGGTCCGGCCAGTACAAGACAAAGAGGAGCGCGGCGAGCTAGGTGGTTAGACCAAGTGGAGCAAGATCTATCAAGGTGAAAATGACCTAGTGAGTAGGGGAAATGGATGTAATGTCGGCCTAAATGCCCCTAATTTGGACCCATACATGAATTCAGCAATGGACTAAATTTTCAATAGCGACCACAAATATGTATTAGTTCCGTCCTTATAACGTGTTCATCTAGATAACATTGAAAAATAGCAGATTTTTAGCGATGGGTCCAATCTTAGATCCATAGGCCAACATTAGAGCCGTTTCTCCTATATAAAAATTTAAAAAAATTTTTTCTCAGAGACATCACTTCAGATTGCTAAAAGTTCTTGTCGATGTTTTATTTTTATTATGCTTTAAGTGGAAGCGATTTTGACATTTTCATTTCATATCTAGGTCACTTTCACCTTAAATGTAGGACGCTCAAGAATGTTAAAAAGAGCACTAAATAAATCGAATTCACGTTGCTTTGTTTTGAGTTAAATTTATTCACATTCTTTAAAAATATCATACAATTGTCATCTTTTTCAAATAATTTGAAAACTATTACCTGAATCCGTTTTATGTTCTTTCATAACTAGTTTGACACATAACGATATTTAACTAAATACAGAAAATTTACTAGCAAAAGAGCGAGTTTAGGTCGATTCCAATTTGTTTCCTTCCGACCCATCGAATTCATCAATATCATCAATATGAGTTAGCTCATAAATACACCTAGTCCCTGAAGATGTCACCATAAAAGTCGTATCACAACTGGAAATTATTGGACGATAAATTTGGCTATCAGCGCCAGCAACCAGGTCGCTAGAATCACATGGAACGATGCTCGGTTGACATCACCGGAATTCCGTCGACTAGTTTCGGGCTGTAAGAAGTTAAAATTTTGGCAAAAATACTCTTTAAATGAATTTCACTGTCTATGATTTTACCGTTGTAAAATTGGCACATGGGGTTTCCCGTCGGACAAACTTGAACAGTGATTCCACCAAGTTGGCCGGAGTGGATTCCTTGCAATCTTCCAGCACTCGGACGAAGCAGTCCCGTAGGTTGTCCATGTCGCTGATGGATTAAAGGTAATATTTAGAAGAAAGTTCGATCATCACAAATAATGCGAAAGGCAACTTACTCGCACTGCTTCTTTCCCATGACCAGCTTTGGAATGCCCTCGGAAGCCTGTGGGCTCGGTTCGTCCAAATATCCTCGCATAGTACTGTTGAAGCAGTCGATCAGTGGTTGCTTCTGTTCCTCGAAGCACTCGGGACCTTCTTCGGCGATGAATACTGCAACCATGGGAAAAAAAATAAAGTAAATATTGCAGGGGTATTTCAACAACCGGTCGTCTTACGTGCAATCTGATCACCATCCTTGTGACAGACAAAGTTCAGCAGACCATGGACAATGTTGACCAGGATCCGTTTACTTTCCTTTTCGTCGCTTTCCAGGCAAACATCCACATCATTGGAGAACGTGTTGATGCACTCGATAGCGATGGATCGTCTTCGGCAGTACCTAAAAGTAATATCCCATCCGTTAGGATTCTGCAAACAGAAAATGTACTCCTGAATCGTACTTATTAAATACGGTATCCAGATCGCCCGTTGGCTTCGCTTCCTTGATTTCACTCTGCAAGTCGCTAAAGTCGATCAGTCCTTGGAGGCATTCGTTCAGCTTTTGGCCGGACTGTTGGGCTTGCTCGTAGGCGGCATCGCTACCGGCAACCCGTGAGCATTTGTCCTTCACGATCCGTTGGATGTCCTCCAGACTGGGTAGGGAGACGTTTTGGAACTCTGGCGGGATGAGACCCTCTGGGAGCTGCTCTCGGAGTTTGTCGATGTCCAGTTCTTTGATGTCCTTTGGAAGCTCGTCGGCACGAATGGAAGGAACTGAAACGAGTTTGATAGAGGTGAATTTCATGCCTTCGGTTGTGACTTCATTAGTCTAGCCCAGCGAGTGTTATTTTTATGTTTTTAGGACTCGAACAAGATTTATGGACAACATAACTGGAAACTCATCCCACTGCGTCCTAGCAAGAAGTACGGTCGACTTGTTTCGCGCTCCGTTGTTTTGGAAGTTTTTTCGGTATTCGCTTGATATAATTTATCAGTTTTTTTCTCACTAAGTGACTCCTGGTATAGTTCCCGGTAAATTGATCGAAAAGTGAGTTTTTTTAGTAGAAAGTGCCATTTTCGGAAAGATTAATCCGTGCTATTGAAAATTCGCAAACAAATTTGGGCATCATCGTTGCGTGGTCACGCATACGCGCTTACGCATACCCGCTCACGTATCATCATCATCGAGTGTGAGCACCCGTTTCTACATCTATATCGTTCATCATTCATCGTGCGCCTGTGTGCGCTGAGTGCCGCGCCTCGATCAAGTGCACCACAGCGAAGGTCATCCACGCTGCGCGTCGCTTCCCAGCCATCTGTGTAAACGCCTACACATATAACGCTCGGTGGTAGTAGTATAGGATTATCAGATAAGTTTTTGTTTTTTTCTTGTTTCTTTTACTCCCCCATTAGTTAAATTTTCATTTTGTATTTCTGTGTTTGTAGTGTTTTCTGTGTATTGTGTCTGTGCGTTCAGTGGGAGAGCGTTTTGCGCTCCCACTAGTTGAACAAAATGGATGTTTTGTCAGAAGACGACATGGATGACCATTCATCTCAGAAGAATGATGATGTCATCCCTGGTTCGTCGTCTCAGTCTGACAATGGGCAGGCTGAGAAAAGCTCCAGATTGCGGGCCTACCCGAATGACTCGACTGGCCCATGGGTTGTCTATTTTCAGCCCAAAAACAAACCCTTGAATGTTGTTCAGATATCTGATGATCTGACAAAGCGATTCTCTGCCGTGATCGAAATAACGAAGGTTAGGCACAACAAACTTCGTGTGACCGTCGCTAACTTGAAACAGGCTAATGAAATTGCTGTTTCCCAGTTTTTCACACTGGAATATAGGGTGTACATTCCAGCCTCTGATGTGGAGATCGAAGGCGTGGTCACTGAGGCGAGCCTGAACCCCGAGATACTGGAGAAGCAAGCGGTTGGCCGATTCAAGAACCCCTTGCTTCCTCCGGTAAAGATACTGGCCGTTCATAGAATGAAGTCAGTATCGCTCAGCGAGGGTAAAAAGAGTTTTACCCCCACAGACTCGTTTCGGGTGACCTTTTCTGGATCTGCCCTTCCTCAATACATCGAGCTGGGAAAACTTCGTCTTCCTGTGCGGTTGTTTGTACCTCGGGTCATGAACTGCCAGCATTGTAAGCGGTTGGGACATACGGCCTCCCACTGCGGCAACAAGGCACGCTGCTCCAAATGCGGGGAGAAGCATGAGGATGGCGCCTGCGCAGCTACTGCACCAAAATGCGTGTACTGCAACGGAACTCCTCCTCATGCTCTCTCGTCGTGCCCGGCGTACAAACAGCTCGGGGACAAAATGAAACGCTCCCTTAAGGAGCGTTCCAGGCGGTCTTTTGCAGAAATGCTTAAGACAGCCACGCCATCGACCAATGACAAAAATCCCTTTTCTCTTTTGTCAGATGACGAGACTGACTCTGACTTGGCTGAGGAGGGAACTTCTTTCAGTTTTCCGGAAGGTTCTGCACGGAAACGAAAGCGCATCCGTTCGCGGATTGTTGCAAATAAAGAACCCCAAATCAGCTTGCCTAAATCAAGGAGTGGTGGAAAAAAGGAGACTTCTACTCCTCCTGGATTCCGCAGAACTGACTATACCCAGGATTTTCCACCACTTCCGGGGACATCCAAAACCCCTGATGCCCCAATTTTAAGAACAGAAACCCCTTCTTCATCTGGGTTGTTCTCATTTGATGACATTGTGGACGGTATTCTCAAATACCTCAACATTTCTGATCCTCTGAAAAGCATTGTCCTCACATTGCTTCCCACTGTGAAATCCTTCTTGAAGCAATTGACTTCAAAATGGCCCCTTCTTGCAGCTATCATCTCCTTCGATGGATAATTTTCCAAACGAGGTCGGGGATTTGATCACTGTTCTACAGTGGAATTGTCGAAGTCTTATTCCGAAATTAGATTCGTTCAAGTATTTAGTCCATAACAATAATTGCGATGCATTTGCCCTCTGTGAAACATGGCTCTCTTCAGAAATTGATCTCCCTTTTTACGATTTTAACATTATTCGATTGGATCGTGAGGATTCACGTGGAGGAGGGGTACTTTTGGGGATCAAAAAGTGCCATTCCTTCTATAGAGTGAATCTTCCCGAATTCCCCGGTATTGAAGTTGTCGCATGTCAGGCTACCATTAAAGGTAAGAGCCTTTGTATTGCTTCTGTATATATTGCTCCTAGAGTCTCTGTTAATCGCAAACAACTTTTCGACATATGTGCGGTACTTCCCGCTCCATGGTTGATCATGGGAGATTTTAACTCCCACGGTACAGGCTGGGGGGAGCTGTACGATGATAACCGTTCTACTTTGATTTATGATCTCTGCGACAACTTCAACATGACAATCCTTAACAATGGAGAAGTAACACGTTTGGCTGGTCCATCCTCGAATGGTAGCAGATTAGACCTCACCTTTTGCTCCAATTCACTATCGTTGGATTGCACTTGGCATGTAATCCAGGATCCGCACGGTAGTGATCATTTGCCGATCAAAATTTCGATTGCCAGTGGGTTCAACTCGTCAGAATCCGTTAACGTCGCGTATGATCTAACCCGTAACATCGATTGGACTAAGTTCCAATCCGCGATAGACGATACAGTATCGTCAGTGGAAGAGCTTCCGCCGTTGGAGGAATATAATTTCCTCTCTAATCTCATCGTCGACAGCGCACTTCAAGCTCAAACACGACCGGTGCCGCGATCGTCAATTCGTAAGAAAACACCGTCGCTCTGGTGGGATCAACAATGCACGGAGGTTTACCGTAAAAAGTCCGACGCGTTTAAACTTTTTCGGAAACGCGGAACACGCGAGCATTTCGACGCATACACATCTCTTGAACGCGAACTCAAGAGCCTCATCAAGGCCAAAAAACGGGGTTACTGGCGGCAGTTTGTAGACGGATTGTCGCGCGAAACGTCTATGAATACGCTTTGGAGTACGGCGCGAAGAATGCGTAACCGGTCCACTAACAACGAAAGCGAGGAATGCTCGGATCAATGGATTCTTAAATTCGCGCGAAAAGTGTGTCCGGATTCCGTGCCGTCGCAGTTGATTCCTCGCGAAACCGCGAATTCGGTACACGAAATCAGTCAGCCTTTTTCAATGGTCGAACTTTCACTCGCTCTCCTTTCGTGTGGTAATTCTGCCCCGGGATCTGATAGAATCAAGTTCAACTTGCTGAAAAACCTCCCAGACGTCGCTAAGAGGCGCATGTTGAACTTGTACAATCAGTTCTTGGAGCTCAATATTGTTCCCGACGATTGGAGACGAGTGAGGGTGATAGCCATTAAAAAGCCTGATAAACCCGCGTCGGATCACAATTCGTATCGGCCCATCGCGATGCTGTCGTGTATTCGGAAATTGATGGAGAAAATGATCCTTTTTCGCCTCGACAAATGGGTTGAGACGAACCACCTTCTTTCAGATACTCAATTTGGTTTCCGTAGGGGTAAGGGAACGAACGACTGTCTCGCGTTGTTTTCCACAGAAATCCAGTTAGCTTTTGCTAAGAAAGAGCAAATGGCTTCTGTGTTCTTGGATATCAAGGGGGCTTTTGATTCAGTATCCGTTGAAGTTCTTTCAGAGAAACTCCACGCTTGTGGATTGTCTCCATTAATGAATAATTTTTTGTACAATTTGCTGTCAGAAAAACATATGAGCTTTTCTCATGGAAACTCTACAGCTTTTCGATTTAGCTACATGGGTCTCCCCCAAGGCTCATGTTTAAGCCCCCTTTTGTACAATTTCTACGTTAGAGAAATTGACAATTGTCTTAGTGACAATTGCACGTTGAGACAACTTGCAGATGATGGCGTAGTGTCTATCACAGGGCCAAAAGAGGTTGACCTGCAAGGACCCTTACAGGATACCTTGGACAATTTGTCTACTTGGGCTATTCAGCTAGGTATCGAATTCTCCACGGAGAAAACTGAGTTGGTCGTTTTTTCTAGGAAGCATAGCCCACCCAGCACAACCGAAGCTTCAACTTTTGGGTAAACCGATCACTCATTCCATGTCTTTTAAATATCTCGGGGTCTGGTTCGATTCCAAATGCACCTGGAGATCCCACATTGAGTATCTGAGAAGAAAATGCCAACTAAGGATCAATTTCCTTCGATCAATTACCGGAACGTGGTGGGGAGCCCATCCACAAGATCTTCTGACGTTGTACCGGACAACGATTTTATCGGTTTTAGAGTACGGCAGTTTTTGCTTCCAGTCGGCAGCTAAAACGCACATCATCAAGCTGGAACGGATCCAGTATCGTTGTCTTCGTATCGCGTTAGGATGCATGCACTCGACTCATACGATGAGTCTCGAAGTGCTGGCGGGCATGTTGCCACTATCCGTCCGTTTTTCAGAGTTATCTCTGAGGCTCCTCACCCGTTGCGAAGTAATGAACCCACTGGTGATTGCAAATTTTGAGAAGCTTCTGGAGCTAAATCCTCAAACATGTTTTATGACTTTGTACTACCTATATTTAACACAGGATGTCAGCCCTTCAAGAAATATTCCCAATCGTGTAGTCTTCTGCGATTTCGGCAATTCAGTGAATTTTGATTTATCTATGACGCAGGAAATCCGCGGAATTCCAGAGCATCATCGTCCTATGATTGCTCCGTCATTATACGCTGCAAAGTTTGGCCATGTTGATTCTGCAAGAACGTTTTTCACAGATGGATCTCTAATAGAGGAGTCCGCTGGTCTTGGTGTATTTAATGAATTTCATAGCGCCTC